GTCGATCTGCCTGTTCTGCTCCCCGCTCTGTCTCTGGTGAATTCTCTCACCCTCTGCATCTCTGGCCTGTACCCCAGTTCTGTACAAATAAATAAATAAATCTTAAAAAAAAAAAAAAGTTCATATTATCCTGTAACATATAAAACAATGGAGGTAAAATAAATTGAATTAGGTGGGCTCTCATCTTAGAAATTATTTTAAATAGTCTTGGTGAATGTCCTGATAAGTCTGTAAAGGTAGAGTGTATATTATTGGAGGCCAACCAGGCCTTTTATTAGTTCCAAAGATTGCTTTAGCAATCTGTCTTAAATAATCATGTCTTAAATAATCAGAAATTCTTATGTAGGGGCTTCCTGCATTGGAGAAAACAGTATATATTTAGCAAGTGGAAAGGTGTTTTGCAGCCCATCAATGCATCTATCTCTTCCCAACCATCTCTACCCAGCAGCGCCATATGGTCTCTGATTGCTAGCAAGCTTTCCACATGTGTGTAACTTACTGCCATTTTCACTAAGGGTAATGGATCAATAAAAACCTTTCAGCTCTCAAATTTTAAAGTAGTCTTTTAATAAGACTTTAAAAAGCATCCTGATTAGCAGATCAAACATAATAATTTTCCAAGCAGTATATGATGTACAGTGCAGTAGAATTTGAATTTGTTCATCCAAATGGTGGAAGAAGTCCTCAGGAGGTGACAATGGAGCTGAAAGTGTTTTTCTGGAATAATATTTCTGTTGTTAAGTGTATCATTCTGTGGTCATAATGTCAACGTCTTTTTCATCCCTAAGAAGAAGAAACACTAGAGGGTCCAGTGGCCAAGGAAGAGAAACCTGCCACTCTTCCTGGGAAAGAGTGTGGGTCTGCCCTGGCCTCAGACCAACCCAAAGGCCTCCGTGAGGGCCAAGTGGCCCAAATAGTTCCCGAGGAGTGTGGCCCAGCAGGGGTCCCACAGGAGGAAACTGTAAAAGGGGTCAGCGCGGTGTCTTCAGATGTAAAAACGCCTTTCTCTGTCCGAGAAGGTGTGTCCTTAGGATGTGCATGTATTTTGTTGCAAATGATCTCCCTGGCAGTTTACCCCCCACCCCCACCCCCCCGATGCCTTTTCCAATGCTGTGTCATTGCTCCGTCTTCTCATAATCCCAAAACCACTGTTTTAGTCTCAGTGAACATAGAGTGTGGCTTGCGCAGGCGCTGTGTGGCACTGGGTGTTCCACTGCTGTGGCTGGTTCCTGGTTTTACGTTGCTGTGATACAGTACGCTTTGCAGTCAGGCTGAGGATGCTGTGTGAGCTTCTTTTCCGCCCCCCATCTCAAATGTTTGCCAGTCACATTGCTAATACATTTATATTTTTATTTTACTTTTGGGACAGCAATTCATATGCTTTTCTTTCGAATTATAGAGTGGGATTTTGGCACATAGACGCTTCAATGGGAGAGTCGTTTTTGTTTGCAACCGCAATGTGCTGTATTTTGTATGCTTCGATGATTACTGGTTTGGTTTCCTTGAAAGCTTCTGCTGTTGCTTCTCAGGCCATTACCTCTCCGTGGCAGCCAACCCGTTTGATCATCCCCATACCTCTTGAGTTTTCATTCATCTAACCTTTGTTAGAACAGGACACATAACTATGTGACGTAATGACAAGTAAACACTTGGTCTTCCAGAGATGATTGACGTTTATTATTACTTTTCTTCAAGTCTTTTCCAGATCGTTACACTTAGTTCTAATGACCTCAGTGTAATACCTTGATCTTAAGACAAAATTCTGAACCTTTTAGATTGATGAACAATCAGAATTTAAAAACCACTTACTTTCTGTGGAGCAACAGCAAAACCAATTGTGGTCGATGTTCCACAGGCAGGCAAGGTCAGGACCAAGCAGAGAACATTTTCACAACTGAACTCTTTTTAGAGTTATGTTACGCATATGGCTTTCAGTATGAACAATATGTAATTCAGATTTTATTACATCTATCATATAGACTAAGTAACGATTAAGAATTGTGAATATGTGGAAGAAATTGGCTCCTCACTAGTTAAGTTATACCCTATAAAGTCAATAACAAATATTCGCTTATGTTTCTGAAATTTAATCTCAGATGACTTATAAAAACTTTTCTGGCAACTTTTCAATGCCCCCAAAATTGGTCCTTTATTTCGTGATCAAGGTAATTATTATCAGTAATATTACTACAAATTAACTGGCCTACTATTCTTGGCCTACTACTTCTCTTTTAAATTTGAAAACAAAACAAAAGAGTAGAAATAATCCTCTTCATATTTAGTCTTTGATATATATTCTTTGGTACAATAATACTAGTTGCTTATTCAATATTTTTTTATTTATGATTTTATCTGTAGGAGGTGCATACTTTTTTCCTACTACAGTATACATCTACACACACTGTTCAGTGAAGACAAAGCAAGAAAAAAGAATATTCAAAATATATTCTTACTATAATTCCTGTACATACTAGCTCACAATGGGAGTTCCTGTCTGCAACAGTACAAATACATTTCAGACCAGACATTTTCATGCTCATTTTTAATGGATAGCATGCTTGCATGTACCACAAATTTTCCCTTTGACCCTACTATTCATTTGTCATTTCAACATAGAATTTGAAGCTTACTGCCTGAAAGCACTTGCCTATTATTTGTTTAAAAATCAACCCAATTACTTCAGGTTTATTTGCAGCCTCGAAGATGGAGTTCCATGATCAACAGGAATTGACTTCCTCTACAGCTGAGCCATTAGACAAGAAGGAAAAAGAGTTAGAGAAACAAAGTAAGCCTGGTGAAGACCTTAAACATGCTGCCTTAGCTTCTCAGCCTGAGACAACAGCTTCTCCTGACAGAAAGGATGTGCAAGACGCAAAGGAAGAAAGAGCACCTCCCACTCCATTTGTGCACACTTTTGGTGCCAGCCTTGAAGACATGAAACAGAAGACAGAATCGAACCTACCGGTACCTGGTATTGGTCTCCCTGCAGAGCCTTCAACTCCAAAAGAGCAGAAAGACTGGTTTATGGAAATGCCGATGGAAACAAAAAAGGATGAGTGGGGTTTAGCTACTCCGATATCTCCAGGTCCCCTAACACCTATGAAGGAGAAAGACGTACTTGAGGATATCCCAAAATGGGAAGGGAAGCAATTTGATTCTCCCATGCCAAGTCCCTTTCAGGCTGGAAGCTTCGCCCTTCCTTTAGGTGTCATAAGGAATGAAATAGTTGCAGGATCATCACCCTTTGCCCCTGTCCTATTACAGCCAGATGACAAAAAATCTCCGGGAGAAACCAGTGATCCAGTGACCACCAAAGATAGGTCTAAAGTGGAAGAACCCCAGAAGGATAAACCTGACAAAATGGCAGAAGTGGCCTCAGAGGCAATTACCTCACCCAAAGATGCTCACATTCCGATTGTAGAAGAATATGTCCCAGAGGAAGTTTTGGAGGGTGACAAAGGAACCCTGGAACAAGAAAGTGCACAGAAGAAGGAGACTTTTGCCCCCAGTGGACAGGCATTTCCACATACTGAAAAGGAAGCTCAGCTAAAGCTTGAAGAAAAAACAACCATTTTTGATGAAGAAGCCATTACTAAAGAAAGTGAACCCCCCAAACTGACAGATGGAGAAACTGGCCTAGTTCAGACCACCATCGAAAATGCTTTCTCGAAAGAACAGAAAGGCCAAGTACCAACCACAAATTTATTCCCTGGAAATTTGGAGAAAGACATGACAGAGCCAGTGGTCCTAAATGAAAAGAATGCAATCCAGGACCTTTTTGAAGAAAACGTTGTTGACAAAGATAACAAGGTCGAAGGCATTGGGTCTGCCACATCAGCAGAGCTTGACATGCCATTTTATGAAGATAAGTCAGGAATGTCCAAGTACTTTGAAACATCTGCTTTGAAAGAAGAAGTGACAAAAAGCATCCAGCCAGGCAGTGATTACTATGAACTGAGTGACACAAGAGAAAGTGTCCAAGAGTCTTTTGATACTGTATCTCCCATGTATAGAAATGGCGACAAGGGACTTCAGGCAGCAAAAGGAGCCCAGCCCAGTCCTCCGACACAAGAGGCAGGATATAGCACTCTCGCCCAGAGTTACCCATCTGATTTACCTGAAGAACCCAGTTCTCCTCAAGAAAGAATGTTCACTATTGATCCAAAAGTATATGGGGAGAAAAGGGATCTCCACAGTAAGAATAAAGATGATTTGACTCTAAGCAGGAGTTTAGGACTTGGTGGTAGATCAGCAATAGAACAAAGAAGCATGTCAATTAATTTGCCCATGTCTTGCCTGGATTCCATAGCCCTGGGGTTTAATTTTGGTCGGGGACATGATCTTTCTCCTCTGGCTTCTGATATTCTAACCAACACTAGTGGGAGTATGGATGAAGGAGATGATTACCTTCCAGCTACAACACCCGCTCTGGAGAAAGCCGCCTGCTTCCCAGAAGAGAGCAAAAAGGAGGAAGAACAGATAGAAGAAGAAAAAGCAGCCAGAGGGGAAAATACTCAAGTCGAGACAACATGTGAGTCATCTTTCCTAGCCAAAGATTATTACAAAAATGGTACTGTCATGGCCCCTGACCTTCCTGAAATGCTCGATCTGGCAGGCACAAGGTCAAGGTTAGCTTCTGTGAGTGCAGATGCTGAGGTGGCTAGGAGGAAATCAGTCCCGTCGGAGACTGTGCTGGAAGAGAGTAGTACTGGCTTACCCCCTGTCACGGATGAAAACCATGTCATGGTGAAAGCAGACAGCCAGCCTGAAGATATGGGCTACTGTGTGTTCAATAAATACACAGTACCACTCCCATCTCCTGTTCAAGACAGTGAGAATTTATCAGGAGAGAGTGGTTCCTTTTATGAAGGCACTGACGATAAAGCGCGAAGAGATTTGGCCACAGACCTTTCATTGATCGAAGTAAAACTGGCAGCAGCTGGAAGAGTCAAAGATGAATTCATTGCGGAGAAAGACACATCCCCGCGAATCGCTGACAAATCAGGACTGGGGAGGGAGTTTGATTTGGACAGGAAAGCTAGTGATAAGCTGGATACTGTGCTAGAAAAGAGTGAAGAACATATTGAATCCAAAGAACATGCCAAGGAAACAGAAGGGGCTGGCGATAAAGTAGAATCGTTTGAATTAGGAGTAACCTATGAGCCTGCTTCACCCAAAGAACTGTCTAAAGATGTGCTACCCCATGTGGGTGAGAAAGCAGAGAAAGGTCTTAGTTCAGTGCCAGAGGTAGCAGAGGTAGAATCATTCAGAAAAGCTGAACCAGGACTGGATTTTGCTGCTACCACAACAGACCAGAATCAGCTGGATATTAAAATCAGTGACTTTGGGCAGATGGCTGCGGGGCTGACCATAGATGCAGGAAGGGCAACAGACCTTAAACCTGAAGTTACACCTGACCTCACCCTCTCGTCCACAGCACCTCAAGGGGCAGATGTGTTTATGGGTGTGGAGCCTGGCCACATGAGAGAAGGCACCAAAGTCAGTGAGACAGAAGTGAAAGAGAAAGTAACCAAGCCTGACTTAGTGCACCAAGAGGCAGTAGACAAGGAAGAGTCCTATGAATCCAGTGGTGAGCACGAAAGCCTCACCATGGAGTCCTTGAAAGCTGATGAGGGCAAGAAGGAAACATCCCCAGAATCTTCCCTAATTCAAGATGAGATTGCCATCAAATTGTCAGTGGAAATACCTTGCGCATCTGCGGTTTCTGAGGCTGACTTAACTCCAGATGAGAAAGCTGATGTCCAGATGGAATTTATCCAGCTGCTGAAAGAAGAAAGCAAAGAGACCCCAGATATATCCATCACCCCATCTGATGTTACAGAGCTGGAAGCCAGCAGGGCTGAGCCAACAGAGGCTCAGCCCGAAGACGAAGAGATAGAAGCCCGGGGAGAGTATGATAAACTGCTCTTCCGTTCAGACACCCTTCAGATTACTGACCTGGGTGTTCCAGGAGTCAAGGAGGAATTTGTGGAAACCTGTCCAGGTGAACACAAAGGAGTGATTGAGTCTGTTGTAACCATCGAGGATGATTTCATCACTGTAGTGCAAACTACAACTGATGAAGGAGAGTCAGGTTCCCACAGTGTGCGCTTTGCAGCTCTCGAGCATCCTGAGGTAGAAAGGAGACCGTCTCCTCATGCTGAAGAAGAGCTAGAAATAGGAGAGGCAGCTGAAGCCCAGGCAGAACCTAAGGATGGCTCTCCAGATGCCCCAGCTTCCCCCGAGAGAGGAGAGGTTGCGCTGTCAGAATATAAGACAGAAACCTATGATGATTACAAAGACGAGACCACCATTGATGACTCCATCATGGATGCTGACAGCCTCTGGGTGGACACTCAAGGTGTGCATTCTTTTTCTATCATTTTTTACTCGTAAATAAATCCAGTCCCCTGGTGGCTTTTTTTTTTTTTCATTTAAGCATTTTTTAAATGGTCCTTATCTCTTGACTTGCATTTTGTTAGCTCTCTGAAGGATTTTGTACATTTGTTACTAATGTTTTCGTTGTTGTTGTTGTCATGATTTGTTTGATCCGCAGATGATGATAGGAGCATGATGACAGAACAGTTAGAAACTATACCTAAAGAGGAGAAAGCTGGAAAGGAAGCTCGGAGACCATCTCTGGAGAAACATAGAAAAGAAAAGCCTTTTAAAACCGGGAGAGGCAGAATTTCCACTCCTGAAAGAAAAATAGCTAAAAAGGAACCTAGCACAGTCTCCAGAGATGAAGTGAGAAGGAAAAAAGGTTCATTTAACAATCACTTCTTTAAAAAATGTTTTTTGAAGTAATTCATTATTAATCTTTTGTAGAAAAAAGATTGCCTAACAGTGGTAACTAATGATTTATGAAATTTCGTTCGGTGTTGCTCCAAGTGTTTATTTTTCCTGATGGTATGCTCTTTGTGTTTTCTTATTCATAGCAGTTTATAAGAAGGCTGAACTTGCTAAAAAAACAGAAGTTCAGGCCCACTCTCCCTCCAGGAAATTCATTTTAAAACCTGCCATCAAATATACTAGACCAACTCATCTCTCCTGTGTTAAGCGGAAAACTACAGGTGACTGATCAATTCTGCAATGTGGCTGGCAAACATAGACACGGATTTTTTTTTTTAATCTCATTACTGTAGCAGCTTCTTCATTTTGTTTTTCTTCCAAGAATCTCCGCAGTCATGAACAATTTCGCTATTGTCTTGCATCATTTTTTTTTTTTGCTGTTCCCCTTCCTGCAGAAAAGGTCATGATCATCTGTTTCTTTGTCATGCTCAGACTTAACAGTGATTGTATCTTGGCATTGTGCTGTAGTGTCACGTTCTGGGAATTCGTATTTTCATTCTGTGTGTTTGGTTAGACGATGGCGATGAATATAACCGTGGTATGCATTCTCATTATTTTGCTTATTTATCTCCCTCATGCTTAAACTCATACATATGTGTCCTGTTTTCCACATTGTCACTGCCAAATCTGTTACTGATGTTGATGAATTTACTGAAACCTCCCAAGCATGCGCAAGTGATTTTGAAATGAAAAATGAAAAGCAAATCTAGGATAAAATTGTGGTTGCAAAATTACTCTGCTGTGGATAAAAGGAAAATGAAATTGTCTGGTAATCCTATCAAATTTGATTCCTTATGTCCAAATAGAACAAGGATTTCAGTCTGTCGCCCCTTTTAGCTGTTTTGTCTTTGGAATTTTTCTTAAATGTGTTGGATTCAGTCTGCTAAATTTTCCTATATAACCTAGTAGTCAAAATTTTAAGATAAAATTCCCCCTCAATATCTTAGAATTTATGTTGACTGAGACTTTGCTATCCTTCTATTTCTGTCTTCTTCAAATATACTTGTTTTACTACTGTTCAAAAAAGTGATGAAATGAAACATGTTGCAAATCATAGTGAAAGTTCATAAAAGTATCTTCAGGGCAAGCTTGACTCCTAAATTTCAGTGCAAAGTGTTAATTTTAAGTGTATAATATACTAAGTTAATCTCAATTTAAATGTATTTTATTTTAACATCATTGGTACACTTGCAGTCTGCAAAGTAGATATCAGATTTCTGAATCAGAAAGGAATGTTTTCCTTTCCATTATATGCTCTCCATACCTTGACATAAATCTTTTTCATGTTTTTAAAGGTTAACGGTAGAACGAACTTTTGTAAGGAAAAGGAAATCAAGATAATTGAAGGTTTAATGATAATAGTCACTAAAATCTCCAACTATCCTGTATTTGTGCTCTTCACATAGGAATTAAATCATGTGCTTTCCTTCACGAACTAATATCCAAGGCAGTATTCGAAAGTGGAAGATGTGATTATACACAAACCTTGATGATAAATGTTCAGGTTGAAAAGTTCCTCTAAGTTGGGAAATCAGCAAATCTTTAAGTCTTATATTTTACTTCATTTCCATTAAACTTGAATTTTTTTTTCTTATAGAAATGGTCGGGGAGACATAACCCTTGGTTTGGGCATAAAAATTCTATATCCTATGGGAAAGGGGGGAAAAAAGATTATATATGAAGTTCACCAAATTTCAGAGGAGATATCACATGATTTGGGGAAGTGCCTATGTGCTACTGGAATTCAGTAAAAAACTGGGAGGAAAATTGCCTTTTTAACTAATTTACTAGGTCAATGGACTAGTCAGACAAGTAAGGTTTTCTCCTTTCAATGTAAGCTACTGAAACAAGCCATGTGCCAAATGTGGGTGCCAGAAAAATTTAATATATATTATAGAAATAGTGAGGAGTCACTATTTGCATGGCTTCTTCAAGCCAATGAACATCAGTTCCAGAATCTGAAAATAATTTTACTAGCCATTCTTCAGTGCCATTTAGCATATTGTAGATAGTTATTTTTTGAGCTACATATGGTAGCTTTTTGAAACTCAGAGAGCTTAGAAGGATAAATATTTTTTTCTGAGGTTTTCATTTATGAAAGAAAATTGAGGGAGTACATGCAAAAAATTGTGCCTTTCATTTTCTAAGCACTATTTTAAAAATATGGATGTTTTCCAATATACGAAAGTTTGTTTCCAATCATGAGAGCTATTTAAATCAAGTCAGGTAAGTCATTAACAGAACATATGCTATAGATGATGATTTCAGGTGACTTCTAAAACCAGAAGTACAGGACAGCAGCAAGAGAAACAACAGTAACAGATGTGGTATTAATATCATACAGGAAGTGCATGTGTAGAACATATTTTGTATTTCTGAACTTAAAATTCCTGTCATGTTTTTTCTCCTGGACAAGTTATTTTTCTTCTTTGCTTAATGTGATGTGTTTCAAACAACTGTGTCGTTTGTACTGTGAAATGAATGCGGGGGGTGGTGGGGGGCAGTGCAGAGGGAAAGGGGTTGACACTTTGGGATATAAAATGCAGAACTATAGGTAGGTATGCCAGTGGCTATAAAAAAGAGCTAGGAAATCTTAATAAAAATTCCTTTTATCATGCCAACCCTAAAATCAGTTCACCCCATTTTTCTTAAGTTCTATCATTTGAATTGCTATTTTTCTGTTCTAAAGTTTCTATCCTCATGTAATAGTAACTTACAGATACATTGGTAACCAGTAGAAACTTATTTGCTGGGCTTACTATGCTCTGGTAAACGCTGGGTTATATTATTTAGCACAAACTCAGAGTGAGAGTGACACGCTTTGATGTCAGGTCTCTTCAGTTACCGAATATGAGTCTCAAAGTAAGCATTGTGTTGACAGTGAAATCCAGAAGGTATTAAATGTGCAATTATGTGGTTTTGGCCACTAAATTTGGGGTTTCTTTGTGCCTTTTCTATTGACTACAACAGGTGGTGAATCAACTCAGGCTCCCAGTGTGTTTAAACAAGCAAAAGACAAAGTCTCTGTGAGTAAAATAACGTTTTTGCCTTCTTTATTTGAAGTTCTGTTTTATATTAGCGACAGCATTTTAATAGCTTTACCTATAATTTATATTTTAAATGTTTAATTTTCGATGCCGTTTTAAACCAGTCACTCACCCAGAATAATTCTTGGTGGCTTTCAGGCTTGTTTTAATGTTTCTGGGATGACTCAATGTTAATTGGTGAGGGTAAAACTGTGACCTGGGCTACCTTTTTATTAGAAGACAAAAATATAAGAAAGAACCCAGTGATTTAGCAAAAGTGAGAGATCCCAATTTATTTACTTTTTAGAGGATCAAAACAAGCTATTACAATAACCAATAAACTATTTTATAATTTATAATGCATTTAGTTAAATTTATTATAAAATAGCACTAGAGAAAACTGAGCAATGTAGATGAGCAAAAATAAGAAAATTATAGTTCCCTTATCTAAAGATAATTATAATTTCCATTTTGATGCAAACTTTTTCTACACATTGTCAGTTCCTTCATTACAGTAAAAGATGTCATGTCACTTGTACACTGTTTTATTTTAATGATAACAGAACATTGTATTTTATTTATTTACAGGGATACATGCAATAAATTTCCTATTTTTTGGCAAACTCTTTAAGGTTATTTTAATAAGATTACTGTAGAAGTAGTTTTGACTTAATCTCTGAATACCTCCATATGCATTTCCTTGGGAATTCTTAGTAAAATTACTGGACCGAGAAGGAAGTCCATATTTAAAATTTCCGTAATGCATTACCTTTATGAAAGTTTTCACTAACTTAAATGTCCCTCAGCTTTTTATGAAAGTACTAATCTTCAGAATTATTACCAGATATGCCTACATTTTAATACATTTGTAAAATTATATGAATGAACTATCTTAACTGTTTTAATTAGAATTTATTGATATTTAACTTCCTACAATCTTTTATATTTATTCTTTAGTACATTTTTTAATATTATTAATCATATTTTTAAGATTTTTTTAAAAATACAAATCCAACATTGAGTAGTTTAACTACTTTCAGACTGAAAGAAAAATTTAGAACCTTCGTGATATCCCAAAATTAAATAATTTGAAGATATTTAGTAGTTGATCATAGTGTTCTGGGTCTTTGTCATTATGTATGATGCATAAATCATAGTTATTTCTTTAGTCTTCTAAAAACTAATAAGACTTTACATTTCTATTTTTCATTTATTGTGAAAAGTAAGTTTTGATTTCAAATGACAGTCATTTTATGGCATCTTGAACTTAAGGAGTTTTACACTGATTTTATATAATATTTCAGACATATTCTTGGACCTATGGCAAACAATAAAATCTACTTATTACTTTGGTAAACATCAGACTTTATTTCAAGCATACTATGATTTCAGATTTGTATCTCCATGCTCTTGGTTTCTGATGGGGAACTAGTAAATTATAGGACTAGGAAGCCAAGTAGGTCCAGGTCTTGACCTTTTATTTAGCTATATGATGTCATTCTTCTCATGTCTTTATTTTCCAAAAATAAATGAAAGAGTAAAAATTTCTATATCCTCATTTTTTAATTTAATATAGTAATTGCATAAAACAGTACACTATATAGAACCTAAAACATACTGCTATTCAGCATGCACTGTTGCTGTTACTACTGCAACTGCTACTATTATTAGCAGATACAGAAGTTTGAGAGTCCAAAAAGACATTTTAAGTAGGCATTTTTAAAAAAAAATTTAGGAAATACTCAAGACCTAGATCTTAAAGTCACTCAACAATGACTTACATTTAGGACAGAAACCATAAATATATCCTGGCACAAGTCTAACATTTTTTTCCTTGAAAATATTCATCTCGTTTTTCTAAAGAGATTGGGCCACTCATTCTTATAACTTTTTCTCACTTTACGTCCTCTTTTTCCTTCTTTATAACCTCATTCTCTGCCTATGTACCTTCTAAAACATCAAGATTAACTTGTCATTGTCTCTGATATTTAGCCTATCTGCCATAACCAACACCTCTGTTTTAATTGATCTGTATTGTGAACATGACCTACAGTCCTTTATTTGATTTGATTTTTGTTCTGTTTAATTTTATATTTGTTTTTAGCATGTGCTTAGCAATTGTCTTTCATAATTTGAGGCAATCCAAGCCCTTCATTTTTTTTTTCCCTGTGTCATACTTTGGAAATGCATTATTTGGTGGGTTGCATCAAGTAGAAGTGAATGACTTGTGTTAACCCAATTACACTTCCTACTCGAAATGTTGAGTCTCTAAGACATGAACTGATTTGTGCAATCTGTGAATGCTTATGCTTGAAGTGGATATGAAATTTAAAACTTAATTTTAAAATCTGTTTCATCAGCTATTTTTGTAACAGCTAAAGCATCACATTAATTATTTGAAGATAAAATCTCCTTGTTTTTGCCATGCTGTATTTTTAAGTCTCCCATGAGAGACATGTGGCATGTCAGCTTAGCGCTCTCCAGAAGCCTCACATCCTACCCACTAACTGACAGTCTCCTCATGGATTAGCAACACCCGTAAATTAAATCTTGTGATTTTTATGGGAAATATCTTCAGTGCTGACTTTCATTTTTATAATTTATACACATCATACAAACTGTAGACAGTACATGAAAATAAATTAATTCTGTTATAACTTGGGCCCCAGTCTATATTTTACTCATAAAATGAATTTATGATCTATAAACTGCAATTTTCAGAGAGAATAATGAAGATGATCTGAAACTTTAAAAGATATTTCCCATTTAGAACTTAAATACACCTTGTTCTAAAGTTTTGAAAAATGATACAAATGTTGAATATACTTATTTTAAAGACTGTTTATTAAAGAAACTGTTCTAGTAGGCTATGAAGATATTTTCCCAAAATGGTTTTATTCTAAGACCAATAAATTAATCAGATTTATACATAGAATCCATAGAGATTATTTGGATCTGTATTGTTATGTAATACTCAGATATGACAATGCAGATCATGAGTAATACAGATGGCGAGTTTATTTCAGTTAAAACAGATGATTAATGAAAGTCTCCTTCTGTCACTACACATCTCCATCATTGATTATAACCATTTATCACATGTTCTTATTTAAAGTAGATATTTAATTTCTTATGTGTTTATACTTTTTTAATTTTCCTTTTACTTCATAGTTTGGTTTATTTTGTATTTTTGTTTGTTTGTTTTTCTTTCATGACTAGAATTCTACCTTGTCAAAGATTCCTGCCTTACAGGGTAGCACAAAGTTCCCAAGATGCAGCTCAGCCTGCCCTAGTACGTCTAAAAAGGCTACATTTTCTGACAGTTTTTTAATTCAGCCCTCCTCAGCGGGCTCTGCAGACCGCTTGCCATATTCAGAATCAGGGAACAAGGTAAGGCAGTGGGTCCATCAGAGGTACAGGAAGGAGCTATTTTGGGAGGTTGTAGGACACAATCAGTGTGTGTGTGTGTGTGTGTGTGTGTGTGTGTGTATGAAAACAAAGACTAAGTTCTCTGGTGTTTGACATATAAACTCTGCACCTTATTAAAAACAAAAACCAATGATGAATAGCTTAGTTATTTTCTTAAATGTCTTATTCTATATAGATCATCCATTATTATTTATTTTATATTAAATAAAATTTCAAATAAAAACTATATATATATTACATATGACACAGACTATGTAGCATTATATAGTTTTAAGAGGTACAGATTGTTTTGTATGTAATAGACAGTTTGGATTTGGCCTCAGACATATCATGATTTAATACTAATTCTGCCACTTACCAAGTAGGTGGTCTTGAAAAGTTTACATGCAATAATTAAACCTGTTTCCTCAGCTATAAAATCCACATACAATTTTGTGCTAATAATTAAATCAGAGATAAATATAAAGTGCTCAGCATTATGTCATGTAAGTGCACAATATATTAGGTATATTACATATGCAATATTCTACTGTCAGTACTTTCTGATTAATTATCATGCTAATGAAGACTTCTCAGTGAAATTATTAATATACAGAAGATTGCTTGAGTAAGCTTATTTTCTCCTGGGTGAGCACTTAGAATTAGAATGTCATAACCACTAACTCCAAAGTAATATATTTTTATAAAAGCGTTAGGCAAATATGAATTCTAGGTGTTGATTTAAAAATGTTTTTAAGTATTTGAAATTGAGTAGTGTGTATTAAAAGAAGTTCATGAGTCAGCACAGGAGAAGTAGCCAGAGCTGTGATCATTTTGTATAGCTAAAGTAAAGACTCACAAGAACTCAGTGTCCTTTTGTTTTTCCCAATCAGGATGGAGTAAGCAAGAGTCCAGAAAAGCGCTCTTCTCTCCCGAGACCTTCCTCCATCCTCCCTCCTCGCAGAGGTGTATCTGGAGACAGAGATGAGAATTCCTTCTCTCTCAACAGTTCTATCTCCTCTTCAACAAGGCGGACCACCAGTAGGTTTATTTTGGCACCATTTTCTTTATAGTCTTTTAAAAATTTCCTTAAGTGGAGTAGCATTTACTGTATATTTATA